GCGTTATAATATGTAGATTCATTTATTACTAACAGCTTGAACTACATAATGAATTGATTAACTTATTCTGAGAAACATTCGAAGTTGTCCTGTGATTAGCAACCTTGCTTACATGTGCACCCACATTTGCACTCACCACATTTACAAACATTCGGTGCACAGTCACAACCTGTCTTCATTTTGCATCCATTGCAACAAGAACAATTCGGACCGTTACAACCTGAAATAAACGGAAACCTTGAATTAGTTGTAAGGAAGGTGAATAAAAATACTTGGATTGTGTGTAAATGTAGTAATCACAATATCTTCGTACTAATATAAAGGTACACTGGTTATAAACACACTCACCTGGCATAATCCTGCTACTTCACAACTAGATGATTTGAAACTACTCGAGTAATCTATTTATATACAAGTATGCATTATATGTGAGCTACACATAGAAATGTAGGCCAATGAAAATTGCCAAATATTTCCCATATCATCTCCCATTGGTTGAATCTATGTAATTCGAGTGAGAGTATTTTGAATTTTGGAGAATTAGGGAAAAATTTCCAACTTATGTTTTAAAAGCTGAGTATTTCATTCATTTACCGTGGTGAAAGAGATTGAAGTTACGAAGCACACGAGTGACATATCAGAAAATGCCATATAACGGCTTTTCATTCCTTATCTATTCCCACTACAACATAACTTTAAGGCTTACCATTCAATGCCACTACCGTTTTTACAATACGACATAAATAAGCCTTTGGAATATGGTTCCGTGCCTTACAACAATCTCGTTATATTTATTATTGATTCGCAGTTCTCTAAAAAGCACTTTATGAGTCTTAAGTGTTGTTTTGATAAGTTGCTTGAAAAGCCACAAGTTGATTTATACTCTCCCTGAACTAGAGACTTCGAAAATGCTACTAAGTAAAATGAAATCCATGAAGCAGAGTTAACTGAAGCGGAAACGGGATCTATTCTTTTTCAGGAGGCCTATACAAGCTTCTTGCTCACTGATTATCAGATATTTCTTCAAATGCAAGTTTCAAAGTAAATTATACAGACAGAGAGCATCTAGTATTTTGCGCGACTACCTCTACTAGCATCCTGATCTATTCTAAACAGAGTTTTCAATACAACTATTGTGGCAGGCTTATCCAAATTGACATTTACTAAGTATTATGCAAATCTGTATGAACAGTTAAACTGGAGAAAGAGTGATCCATGTGGTTTATAACAACTTCAAGGATTTTCCGACATATACGGACGACTAGAAAATTCGTTGTACTCAGTGAAATTCATTCACAAATATAGTGAGGACGAGCACTTAACAAGTTATATTGATACCAACTTCAGAAAGTATCGTCAATAATGTGTTCTCGAATTTGAATCATTACGTTGAATATTATCAAGAAAATCTGCATGCTATTAGATCTAGATAGTGTAGTCAAATCTGACATCATGTGTTGTGTGAACTGAAACAAACGCGAACCTATGTACACAAACCATAGGAATATTGCTAGAGCAGACACCACAGTGATTCATATAATGAATTTCAATAAAAATTAAATGCAAAGTTATAAAAAGGAATGATGACAATTTCACAAACCCTGTTTCACAATTACAGTCAAGCAATTCTGATAAAATAATGAGTTTCTCTTCCGCTACAAACAACAAATTTTTGTCATTATTTTCCAGTCTACAATTTCTGTCTAAACACAAGTCTTCTGATAATTTCAACCAATCTGTGATGTTATGTGAAAAGTATCACAATTTCTATTGGTTCATTTTCCTATGTGTTTATCACATATCAAGCATAGAAAATTAAAATGTATATAAGCGAACGATACATCGGACAAATTATGCACTAAACTATCTCAGTAAGAATAATCATGCCAGGTAAGATTGTTGTTGTATGGTATTATCTATTCACATTGTCCAGAAATTATTCATTACAATTGTAATTAATTGTAATTAACTAAATATTCTCTCTGTTAAACTGAAGGTTGTGGTGGTGGTAGTGGAAACTGTAAATGCTGTTCTGGATGTGCATCGGGTAAAGGATGTGATTGTCCATCTGGTCAATGTCAATGTTCGGGGTGTACGTGTGGATGTTCGTGTCCTTCCAAATGCAAATAAGATGACATTCAGTCATGTTAAACTGTATTCAGATTCATTAATTATTGTTAATTGCATAATATGTTGATAAATGATAATAAAATATTAATTTAACCACAATGTTCATTTTGAATGGTGAAATTTATTTGGGATTTGATGTTAGAATAGTGAAATTTCCTTATGATCAGTGTTGTCAGTCTGTGGTGAAATGTGTGCATTTCGTTATGATTAGGTTTCTGATAAACAAGCAGTTGTTTAGAAATGGTTGACGGATGATGACAAAGCTACTTTGATTGAGAATAATTTGTTTTATGGTTGTTCATAAAATACTCCTCTTGATATGAATTCACATTAAAACTCATTATTTGTCATCATTGCTGAAATGTGAAAGACTTTGAATTTTAATTAATTTCCTCGTATAACTAGGGCTCACGCTTTGTGTGAATTTCATTAATCAATTATATCGCAGGTAGTATTTATTGTCTTGCCTGAATATTGTAAACGTTCATACGTAGAATCTCTGGAAATCAACTATTACATGCATAGTTTCTTATCAAAAAACCTGGGACGCACCCGTCAAATTACAAATTGTCCGATGACTAATTTAGGCTACCTCTTGCCATAAAAATACTGAGGTTAGGAGTAAATGCTAATACGATCACATTGACGAGTTAAGAATCAGGTGGATATCATGACCAGACAGCAATTAGACAACCACTGTATACATCAGAGAACTGAATAGCTTATTACAGAACAATCCTAAACAAATGAAATATGGTTATTGTGACAGATTAGAATTTGTATTGTTATGTGGGTGTAAGATTGATCAACTGAATCGATGTAAACAGTGTGATTGACTGATAATTAGTTACAAACCCGAATTACCAAAACCATACCTTCAACAAACAGACTTCAACAGATAGAATAGCCGCATTTCAAGAAGCATTGTTTTGATTTTGGCAAGGCCAAACAACCACATTCAAAATATTTAACTTAAAAATGAATATTTTCAAATAATGCGTAGTATATAAATGACTATCATCGACGGAATTTGTAAGTGAGTTAGCAGTTTATTAAACCAAAATTTGTCTATCAGTGTGTGGTTGTGGAGATTGTCAGGTTTTTGATTGAGATTATGAATCAATGATTGTTAGACTACAATTGAATTGGACGACCCTTTCGTCGAGTGCTTCTAGGTTTTCAATGGTGGTCTAACACTCATCAATTCATGATCTCAATTTAAAATCTAACTATCATCTTTACATAATGTGTACAACATTACACAGTCATTTAGATTTTGCTTATGCCTGAATTAGAGTTGTACTGTTTACATGAATTGTTTCTATTGTCGTTGTTATTCATATGATGTTTGGCTTTTTTTCGTTTCCTTATCACTAGTTCCTCATGAATACAAGTCAGAGTTGTTTTAATGTATAATTCAGTGTAAGATTTATTCATTTAATTCATTTTACTAAACATTTTTACTTCAATATCAATTACAGTGTGTGCCTAAACTATTTAATCATTACAGATAAATTAACAAGTCAATATTATTAAGTTTTAATAGGAAGAAGCTCTTAACAGAATAGCTCATAATAAATAGTGTTACGTTACTATCTAGTGTAATGATTAATACTACAATTACCTCTCTATAATTGGAAAATGGAAGGCGATGAATCCCGGACTTATTTATGACATATAGTTTAGTTTTTGGAAGTTATCTGTCAATGAAATCCAATATTATAAATTATAGTTCAAAGGCTTGTGGATAAAGCACTGACGTTGGAACTTTATTACGAGCAACTACACTGAAATAAAGGTTTCTCCATGTAATGGTTCAAAAATAGAATGAAAATTACGTTAAACATTCAGCCTGTATTCATGAAACAATATACGTTTCTTATAATAAATCTATAAACCTCTACAGTTCTATTAGGTTAATAACTACTATCTGGCTAACATATATATTCGTGCACAATTAACAAGTTCTGTATATTATCATTTTAAAGTATTTCTTAATACAACTTTCAAATTGGATCATGTAATATATTTTTGTAAAGTATTCACCTATTTGAATTATCCCAAAGATTCACAGTCCAAAGTAAGTCTAATCACATATCCTATTGAATTCCACTACATACGATTGGACTTTTGAAATCAACATGATCTAATGTAGGAACTCAGTAAGGATCAACGTGAAACACTAGAGAAAGATACAGTGTACAATAAAACCTTGTGGTTATCTTGCTAACATTTTCATTAACACCTAACAACCCCAAAAGAGTACCGTGATAGATCATTTCTATGGTTTATCAAAACATCCTTTATTATCTTACAAAAGGTATATAAAGTATAAAATTTCATAACAATGATTGTTTACACGATGTTTTGTTGTTAAGTAATTCAATTTAACATATTTAAGATAATTGAAGCTTAAAATTTCTTTCTATGTATAATCACAGGTTTTATGCTCCATCAAAAAATGTGATTTATATATGCATCTTGTATATTGAATCATTTAGATTCATACTTCCACGTATAAAGTTCATTTACTCTAAGTTATCTAATTGAAAATAAACTAAGTTTCTAACATATATAGCTTAAATTATATAATGATAATCCTATATAACAAAGATCTAAAAATCATTGATTCAGTATAAACGATCATCTTACAGTCTCATCAATCCAACGTAACATAATCAAGAAAACCATATACCTAGCGACTTATAACTTGAATTAGCATATTTTGAAGAAGAAGAAGAAGAAAAAAGACGAAAAACTTTTAGAAAAAAACATTCAATTTATTATGAATGTCAAATTGTATCGTTTACTATATTGAACTTAAAGTATAATTTATTACAATGATCCAAATTATAATTATATTAATTTTATTACATATATTTCTCTTGTGATGGTTTATATGGACCAATTTTTTTCACTGCAGTTTTATGAATACTACCCAATAAATAAGGATTGTAACGAGGAATCTGAAAAAAAGATAATAAAAGATGAAAAAAGAAACCACATGAAAGAAACTTTTGATACAAGTTATAATATCTATTATCTGTGTATTACAAGTATACAACTAAGATACCCGATACTGAAATTCATATTATTTCAAATGATTAAATACATGTTTTTGATTGAAATCATGAATCAATTGATGTTAGACTACCATTGCAAACCTTGAAGCACTAGATGGTCACGCAATGTCGTGGATTGGTTGAGGTTAGACATTTCCACCGTTAGATGCCGGCTCAGTGGTCTGGAGGTTAAGGGTTCGAGCGCCAGACCGAAGGTCCTAAGTTCGAGTCCCGCAAGCGGGATCGTGGGTGCGCACTGTTGAGGAGCCCCATACTAGGAAGAAACGGCCGTCAAGTGCTTCCAGATTTTCGAATGTTGTCGAACATCGATCAAAAACTTAACAATCTCCACAACCACATACTGATAATAACATTTTATCTGATCACATTCTATACTTTGTGATTTTGTATAACGAGATTCGTTTTTAATCTAGATGAATATAATTCGATCAGTTATAGTTAACCATTCAGTAATACGTTTGTAAACAGCCTAATGACTGATTACTAAATTTTATCATCTTTCTAGATCAATAATTAGCTCACTTATATGAACTCTTTTTTTGGAGGGAGAATCAAATCTCACAAATATGTGATTATATTGATTGCCAGGGTTTTTGTCAGGAAAACGTTTCGCTTATCTTATTATCTGTGAATATTGAATCATATCTCAGGAAATCAGACTGACGGTAAATTATTACATATTCTGCAAAATGTTTTCAGTTGTTAGAAAATAACTTACTTGGTTTCTTATACAAAATCTTATGTTGCCTTTTGCCAGAGTAGCACAAATCACTAGGATAATAAACACGTTTTCCGATCTTTCCATGCATTTTAGTTTGTGCTGAATACAGAAATCTATGAATCATGCTAGCATTACCCCAAATCATAAACTACTGAAATCTACTTATAATAAATTGAATCTTCACTATATCAGTTTAAACTAAATCATTCTGTTTAGAAATTCTCTGTTAATTTGTAACATCATTAATTTCGTATGGAGTAAAAAATGTCTAACTTGAAAACCTAATTATTTATATTATGACTATTTATCATAACTCTCAGGTTTGCTATGACTTACCTTAGAGTTAACAAATATTTCAGTAACATAAATTACACATATTAACAGATATTCCCAGAGTGTACTTACGTTGTTCTATCATAAATTGTCAGTACAAACATGATGGAAGTCAGCCATGTGAAATGTGCAAATCAACTATCCTCATGATGATTTAATTTTAGTCTTATTCAACTCTACATACATTAAGAATCATAGTAAGTGACAGTCAGTGATAATAGTCTGGTGAACTATAGACTGATCAAAATAGCACAATGATTCTGGTATCAAATATAGTTTTTCGACGGTCAGTTCTTTGTTTTACTGAGTAAATTAAATAGCCTGATACATATTACATTTTAATTGAATTTTATTATCAGAAATATGATTTAGGTTTTCGTGCTAATAAAATATATTTACCACAATTATGTAACATTATTTACTGAGTTCGATTCCAAGTCGCTGACTTAATGCATAAGTGATATAACATGAGTTTCTTTCATAAATATGTATATCAACCTAACAATTATTCGAACTAAAGTCTAAATTTAAACACTAAATTATAACATACATGTGTACGTTTAACTCGTTTTTTAGCTACCAGCCTTTTACGACTTTCTCCTCGAAGATATGGATTTACCAAGAAAATCTATAATTTTGCAAAGAAAACATTAAATTATAAGAATTAAATAGAGTGTAATCAATATATGTTGGAATTTTAGATGGTTGGAGGTAGTCGACAGAAAGCCCTGGATCTAAGTTTTTTTCTAGTCGTCACTCGTCATTAAAATGTACCTGAAAACTTGTGGGAACTAGCTCGTTCGACTTTATGTCACCTAACTTCACAGTCTGGGACTCAACCATCTAACTATTCGGATAACTACTGACCTTCAAGAAGACTGAAACATTTACATGTAACGTAGGTCCAGAGTTTCCAGTCGACTACTCCCAAACACCCAATATCTTAGCATAGTACATGCGGTATCGAGTCACTTTAATTTAGTGGTCACATTGGAATTTGATAGATGGAAATCGATCAATATTTAAAGGGCTAGATAAAAAAGACATCAATCACTACTAGATAATCTATTATTCAGAAGCAGTGAATATGCATTTATGAGTTTGGATTCAACCGTAAATCAGCGGATGAGTTGAATAACATTTTGATGTTAGAAGTGATTGTGAACTCCGGCTTCTAATTTTAATGGAAGTATCAAGACGATGGATTACTTTAATTTCATAGTCATAAAATCTATCAGTGTATAAGAATGAATTTTTAGTGAACAATGATATCTGAATTATATATGACTTACACAGAACTTTAATATAAATTCAGTTTTATATGTAGAAAACTATCCCAACAAATTAAAGATTTTATCACTTTAATCTTTGAACTAAATATGACTGAATAGTTTGGATAAAGTGGTTTCGGTAATTACTTTAACCGACAAATAGACTTCGTTATGGTTGGATCTCAGTATAATGCCACTGATGGTTTGTGAGTATCAGGAAAATGTTTCACCCTAGTATGGGACTCCTGAACACTAAGAATTCACGAACCCAAGAAGAACCGAACTCACTATCACTAGGTTATATGATCCAGTTTTCCAATACAATGCTTTAAAAACTTGTATGTTTTCTTGGAATTCAAACACTTAAGACAATTTATAGTGGGAAAAATATTTGCGCAATCTAATGTCTTACTTTCTCATCAGTCTTTTGTTCCGACACAAAATTATTTTTATGTCCATTGTCATTTGATTCAACTGGACAATTATCCATATGTTCATTATCACATGAACATTCACCATTTTGCATTTTTCTTATTATCCAATGTCGATTAAATTCAATGGTATCTTCAATTTCTTGATCACATGGTGTTGGTAAATCATTTGATTTATAATTTAATGGACATGGATTAGGTGGATCACAATAAGCAGGTAAATTATCAAGTTTGGATTCTATATGAGATGATTCTAGCTCACTAGATAGATTTAAATTATCAGCTGATGTATCTTGTGCTCCAGCTCCCACTAAGGCATAATCTATCCACTGACCTGTTTCACTGGAACCTCCAGAAACTTTATGTTCACCCCATAGGGGATTTTGGTAAGCGATTTCATTTCGACGTTCTGTTAAACCTGGTTCATGTAAAACTTTATCATTATTATTTTTATTTGGATTCAATTCGTAATTATCATTTGATTTTTGGTCGAAATTTGAATACATCAATTTTAGTTTATCAATATCATCTTCTTGTAGTCTGCCTAATTTAGCTTGATTGATTTCATTTAATAATGCATTCCATTGTCGATCAGTAATTTCATAATTTTCTGGATAATCATCTTGAAAAATTGGATGTTCCGGTGAATATAAACGTTCTAATGTTGATTCTAAACCAGGATTCTGTTTTATATAATCATCATACAATAGTTTCCCATCATTTATTAATCTATCTATGTACTGATTATAATTGCTAGCCAGTATTTGACCACACAAATTAGTTAGAAAAAGTAACAGGTACAATATTCTAGGCTATAATTAAAAGAGAAGAAATGATTCAGAACATTAAGTAAAGGATTTTTCTGAGGGATGTTATTGGATTTTCAATATAGTTTTCATCACAAACTGATGCCAGAAAGGGAAATAAAAGTGAACTAATCAAATCTTAATTTAATCTAATATAGAATTGTGGATAAGCTATGATTAAAAGTTCTAAGTTAAAATGAATCAATCGTTTAGTTTTCTTTAGTATTCAACGCTTTTGTAGCTGATATCAGCTGGTGATAAACATTATATTCAAACTTAGTAATGTTTTAGTAAGCAAAGATGGATAGTGGCTATATCGAGGCAATACGCACAGTATGCACATATGCCAATTAGAGACTGACCATTTGCAGTCCTAAGCATCAATGGGAAGATTCAAACAAACAATACTAAGTGAATTTAGTAATGTAATACTTTAGATACATATATATATATATGACTTACCTCTTTCAAATTCATTTGAAACATTTAGATGGAATATACAAAAAGATAATGCTATATAATACTACATATTTTCATTATGTAATGAATTTCAATTAGACTCATTTATAACAAGTCGACTTTCTGATCGATTATTTTAACTCATAAATAGAAACTGGTTAGAAAGATAGACTATCTGTTTAGTTTACACGTGATATACTTCATTCTCTACTCTTTCTACTAGCTTTCAATATTAATAAGCCAATAGGAAATATTATAAATGGGCTAGTTTATATTTGATCAAATTGAAAGAGAGTAAATTTCAGTAGGAGGAGAATTAGACAACCTTGAGGAAAATAAAAATGAGGTAGGGAAAAAAATTGATAACTCATGTAAAAACCACCAACAGTCATGATTCTTTTTTTTTTAAATCGTCATTTTATACATAACTAAACTCCTTAGTAACATTATTATCAATGGGATTCAATCATAATAAAGCTAATAATCTAGTAATGCCTAAATATAATACTACTACGATGGCAACTATTTCCGATAAATATACTTATACAATAATAAATTATTTATATATGTATATGTTGATATATAAGTAGTGCATAAATATCTGTCTGAAAATTAAGAAAATATAAAAATTGAAAGTGTATATTTACTATGACAACGGATAGATTTATTTTTAGAAGATTGAGAAAGTGTTCAGCTTTAAAAATCTTTAATAGTTGAAAGGATAGATAGCTTACTTCATTCTGAATGATTTTCTTGTGGTTACTTATACATTACCTTATGTAAATAAGATAAGTAAACAAACATGTTATTATGTATGTACATGTTCATGTTATTTTGCATAACTAATTTGATGTCATGGATGTGAGTGATTAAAAAGGCTAATAACTGAAATGAAACTGCTATTTAGCTCTTCCTAGTATTGCAGTTATACTCTAAGCTGATGTTAATTCATTACAAAAATGATCTTTAAACCAGTGTACCATTTTCAATAAATACTTCACTAAAGCAAAATATGCTTGAATTGTCTCAGTGTGTATAAAAATGCTTCTCAAAACGGAATACATCAATTAGGTGCTTTGACAAAATACATAAACAAAATACAATTTATTTTGTATTTCATTTCTTGTATAATCTGTAAATTCGAAAATTTCTAGAAAATACCAAATCATTATTGCTTATCAATGTTTTTGACTATCAAATTATATGTACTAATTATGAAACGTTACATAACGTCAACATAATCCCACTTGATTGAACTTTTTTCCAAAATTTTTAGAGAACTTAGAAACAAATCCCACTGTGGACTGAGATCGTTTGAAAAATCATTGTATACCAAGGAATATTAAAGAGATATTTAGCCTTCATTTTGAACTCTTTAAAGATGAATACCTATGACCCGACATGTGATTGAGATAATGAGCTTTGTGATGAGATGGGAACTACTGGATCGTTAACCATTTATTTTCAAACTTTCAGAGATGAGAAAGACGAATGTCAACAAATTGTACAGAATTTGAAGTGAATATATTTCTCCCTAGATGAAAAACATTGTCTTCTAGAACTCATCGATTTGTGCCTAACGACATATTTTCAATTCAACAACAAATGCTACGAACAAACAAAAAGAACACCGATGGGATCACCAATATCGGGACTTGTCGCAAAAGCAGTAATGTAGAGGCTATAAACCGCGATCTTACCAGTGATCAAGCCCAAAATTTGGATTCCTTATGTAAACTAAAAATTCATCATCGTCAAAAAGGATGAACTAGAAAACACCCACAGGCTGACCAACAACGTGTTCAATGACATCAAGTTCCCCATGGAACAAGAATCGAATGACGAGCTATCATTCTTGGATATATTAATCACCAGAACCAACACAAGTAAACTGGAAACTATAGTGTACAAGAAGCCGACTCACACTGATGAAATTCTCAACTACAATAGCAACAACCCAAAAGCTCACAAAATCAACCGCGTACAAACTTTGTTCAAGAGGGTGAGGATACACTGAAACACAATTGCAGCACGAAAAAATCAAGAAAAATACTTGAAGACCATCCTTCAAAAGAACGGCTACTCAAACAACTTCATCGAAAAATACCAGCCGCACCCATCATCAGAAACAAAGTCAAGTACAGAAATTGACAAAAGGATCACCCTACCATACATAAAAGGTATGTCAGAAACGACAACAAGACTGCTGAAAACCTTCGGAATAGGTGTTGCGTACAAACCAACAAAATCCCTCCATTCAATCTTATGCAAACCAAAGATGAAATGACAAAAGAAAACAAACCAAACATCATCTACAAAATAATTTATGCCAACTGCGATAAACCCTACATCGTACAAAGCGGACACCCTCTTCATCTTCGTCCGCATGAACATCAATTAGCAGTCAAACTCCATGACATGTCTTCACTTATATCAATGCACGTAGACAACTGCGGACACATTCGACTGGAAAAATGTGGATATTTCGGGTAGAGGTAATTCCAAAAACACCATAGAATTCTTAGAAGCTTGGCACTCAGGTCAATCAGCAATAAACAAGCACATTGAAATCAACCCAATTTATCAACCAATTAGGAAAATTATGCTGAAACTTGGAAACAAAAATCAAACCAATAGGAGATACAATCAAAACAAAGTAAATAATGACAGATTTAAGGTCAACATGAACCAATCAACATCGAGATGTACAGCACAAGCTGTAAACCTTAATTAATGATTGATAAATGATACAAAACAATCTCGAAAATGGAATCTTCAATATAAAGTGCACTTTACAGTTAACATGTGTTTTTAAAATAATTCTTGTACTACTCATAGTAGCATGAGTAAAACATTAAACTTTTACAATCATTTATATTTATATACGTAATGAAATACCAGAACCTCGGCTTGTTTTCGATTCTAATCTTCTCTTTTTAGAGCTAATTCCCTTTATTTTTAAAGGATAATTTTGGTGAAGATATTTGGTCAAATTTATGGGAAGCTCAATAAAATGCATCTTCCATTTTATCGAGTGGCAGGGTAATCCTCGGGAATATTCCTAGAAAGGACACGTTCTATGAAATCCAAATAACCTGCTTCAGAAGGATAGGCAAACTGCTCAATAATTAACTGGGACTGTATCCTTATGCATGTATGATTTATCTTTATTTATTTACCTTTAAGTGTTCATATATCCTACTGTGGTCTCACCATAAGTAATAATTTATTTCCATCTGACTGTATTCCAATTAATCTTCTTTATATAACTCAATCAAGTGATTTATTCTAATACACTTCATTCAAGAAAACGTTTGTTACGTAATCAATTGTTACATTTAGCTCATTCAAATTATTTAGAGACTTTATGCAAAACTAACTTTCACTAGTAACATAGAAAAAATTATGAAGATTCAATGATTGTGTTTAACTTGATGACATGTATAAAGCTAATTATGCAGCTTATTTAGTTTAACACAACAGTTATGACATACGCCAGATATAAAACCATAGCTCTGATTCTTTTACATAACTTATCCTTTCAAATAGGAAAATACAGTCCACTTAGATAACAAGACATTATTATTGCTATTATTCCCATCTGACTATATGTCCATTTAATGAATGATTCAGTGAAATTGTTTAGAGATAACCGGATGTCATAAATAGAATAAAGATATCATGGCCGTAACAAAACCATGAAATCTCGAATAAGATCCCATGATCCCATACTTCTCAAATACGTATAAATATGTAAAAATGGTTGTGATTACTATTTTTGTTTCAGCAAGATACAATGACGCAAATAGCTTTCAATAACAGCTATCTTTCTGCATTCTCTTTAAATTGTTTCTACAAATTATCTAAATTTAGTCAACGGTAAACTTTAAATTACCATCATATGTATTCAGTTTTATTGGGGGATTCTTCGAAATATCTCATGATTCTGATCAAATTGAATAAAATTTCGGAAAATTTTGTTACTACTAGTGACGTAATTTTATTCATTGAAATCGTTATTTAACATTTTAGTAGACGATCCAGTTGTATTTTACCTGGTCAAAAAGATGCACATTTGAATTTGATACACAGAATGATCAGATCTGTAAAGTTTCTATGCTAATTCGTAAACCATTTTATATTCCTTTTAAAGTATAAATAGTATAATGATACGATAATGTTTAATGCGAAAAATATATGATGACTTTACAACTCAACTTTCTTGATATATCTTAGAACCTACGCACTTGTCAACAACTTCCTTGACCAAACTTATACTACGGAGAAATATATAGCTAAATTCTACCATTTATTTAATAGTGAAACCAATGAGTCCATTAAAGCTAAACAACCATGAAAAACCCTGAACCACTGGACGGCCATTTCGTTCTATTGTGGGACCCCTCAGCAGTACACATCCATGACACCGCACACGGAACTCAAACCCAGGACCTTCGGTCTCGCGCTCAAGCGTTTAACTTCTGGACCACTGAGCCGGCATCCAACGGTGCTAATATCTAAACTCAATCACTTCACCAAATTGCACCACTGTCCACCACTGTCTTCAGTGAATCACTGCCTCACAACAGTTACGAGTGAACTCCATTGATCACAGTTTCTCACTAGAACTCCAGGAAATACCTTTAGAAACCAGTCACCAGTGAGCAAATAATGATTATTATCAAAAAGGGGATTTTGTCGAGATTGTAGTAATCTAATAGTTTTATTTATAAGTCAATCACTACTTATTTCACACTGATAATTTTATCAAATTTGAATGCTACTTGTTAAATCATAAACAGATTTGACTGATTCAATTTTTTTTGGCAGAAGAAATAAATAAACAAAACTGACTAACTCAGGAAAGAAAACAAGATTTATTTATCATTATTCCTTTCTCACCTGTTGTTGTTGTTTTATTCATCGTTATGAGTATTGTTGATGTTTATTCCTGTCTTCTATTATGTTATCCACAAAAATAAGGTAAGTTGTTTATACAAAATAGTAACAATCACTGATTTCCCTTT